CTAGTCTATAGTCTAGTCTATAGTCTAGTCTATAGTCTAGTCTATAGTCTAGTCTATAGTCTAGTCTATAGTCTAGTCTATAGTCTAGTCTATAGTCTAGTCTATAGTCTAGTCTATAGTCTAGTCTATAGTCTAGTCTATAGTCTAGTCTATAGTCTAGTCTATAGTCTATCTATAGTCTAGCTATAGTCTAGTCTATAGTCTAGTCTATAGTCTAGTCTATAGTCTAGTCTATAGTCTAGTCTATAGTCTAGTCTATAGTCTAGTCTATAGTCTAGTCTATAGTCTAGTCATAGTCTAGTCTATAGTCTAGTCTATAGTCTAGTCTATAGTCTAGTCTATAGTCTAGTCTATAGTCTAGTCTATAGTCTAGTCTATAGTCTAGTCTATAGTCTAGTCTATAGTCTAGTCTATAGTCTAGTCTATAGTCTAGTCTATAGTCTAGTCTATAGTCTAGTCTATAGTCTAGTCTATAGTCTAGTCTATAGTCTAGTCTATAGTCTAGTCTAGTCTAGTCTATAGTCTAGTCTATAGTCTAGTCTATAGTCTAGTCTATAGTCTAGTCTATAGTCTAGCTATAGTCTAGTCTATAGTCTAGCCTATAGTCTAGTCTATAGTCTAGTCTATAGTCTAGTCTATAGTCTAGCCTATAGTCTAGTCTATAGTCTAGTCTATAGTCTAGTCTATAGTCTAGTCTATAGTCTAGTCTATAGTCTAGTCTATAGTCTAGTCTATAGTCTAGTCTATAGTCTAGTCTATAGTCTAGTCTATAGTCTAGTCTATAGTCTAGTCTATAGTCTATATCTATAGTCTAGTCTATAGTCTAGTCTATAGTCTAGTCTATAGTCTAGTCTATAGTCTAGTCTATAGTCTAGTCTATAGTCTAGTCTATAGTCTAGTCTATAGTCTAGTCTATAGTCTAGTCTATAGTCTAGTCTATAGTCTAGTCTATAGTCTAGTCTAGTCTATAGTCTATCATAGTCTAGTCTATAGTCTAGTCTATAGTCTAGTCTATAGTCTAGTCTATAGTCTAGTCTATAGTCTAGTCTATAGTCTAGTCTATAGTCTAGTCTATAGTCTAGTCTATAGTCTAGTCTATAGTCTAGTCTATAGTCTAGTCTATAGTCTAGTCTATAGTCTAGTCTATAGTCTAGTCTATCTCTAGTCTATAGTCTAGCTATAGTCTAGTCTATAGTCTAGTCTATAGTCTAGTCTATAGTCTAGTCTATAGTCTAGTCTATAGTCTAGTCTATAGTCTAGTCTATAGTCTAGTCTATAGTCTAGTCTATAGTCTAGTCTATAGTCTAGTCTATAGTCTAGTCTATAGTCTAGTCTATAGTCTAGTCTATAGTCTAGTCTATAGTCTAGTCTATAGTCTAGTCTATAGTCTAGTCTATAGTCTAGTCTATAGTCTAGTCTATAGTCTAGTCTATAGTCTAGTCTATAGTCTAGTCTATAGTCTAGTCTATATCTAGTCTATAGTCTAGTCTATAGTCTAGTCTATAGTCGTCTATAGTCTAGTCTATAGTCTAGTCTATAGTCTAGTCTATAGTCTAGTCTATAGTCTAGTCTATAGTCTAGTCTATAGTCTAGTCTATAGTCTAGTCTATAGTCTAGTCTATAGTCTAGTCTATAGTCTAGTCTATAGTCTAGTCTATAGTCTAGTCTATAGTCTAGTCTATAGTCTAGTCTATAGTCTAGTCTATAGTCTAGTCTATAGTCTAGTCTATAGTCTAGTCTATAGTCTAGTCTATAGTCTAGTCTATAGTCTAGTCTATAGTCTAGTCTATAGTCTAGTCTATAGTCTAGTCTATAGTCTAGTCTATAGTCTAGTCTATAGTCTAGTCTATAGTCTAGTCTATAGTCTAGTCTATAGTCTAGTCTATAGTCTAGTCTATAGTCTAGTCTATAGTCTAGTCTATAGTCTAGTCTATAGTCTAGTCTATAGTCTAGTCTATAGTCTAGTCTATAGTCTAGTCTATAGTCTAGTCTAGTCTAGTCTATAGTCTAGTCTATAGTCTAGTCTATAGTCTAGTCTATAGTCTAGTCTATAGTCTAGTCTATAGTCTAGTCTATAGTCTAGTCTATAGTCTAGTCTATAGTCTAGTCTATAGTCTAGTCTATAGTCTAGTCTATAGTCTAGTCTATAGTCTAGTCTATAGTCTAGTCTATAGTCTAGTCTATAGTCTAGTCTATAGTCTAGTCTATAGTCTAGTCTATAGTCTAGTCTATAGTTCTAGTCTATAGTCTAGTCTATAGTCTAGTCTATAGTCTAGTCTATAGTCTAGTCTATAGTCTAGTCTATAGTCTAGTCTATAGTCTAGTCTATAGTCTAGTCTATAGTCTAGTCTATAGTCTAGTCTATAGTCTAGTCTATAGTCTAGTCTATAGTCTAGTCTATAGTCTAGTCTATAGTCTAGTCTATAGTCTAGTCTATAGTCTAGTCTATAGTCTAGTCTATAGTCTAGTCTATAGTCTAGTCTATAGTCTAGTCTATAGTCTAGTCTATAGTCTAGTCTATAGTCTAGTCTATAGTCTAGTCAGTCTAGTCTATAGTCTAGTCTATAGTCTAGTCTATAGTCTAGTCTATAGTCTAGTCTATAGTCTAGTCTATAGTCTAGTCTATAGTCTAGTCTATAGTCTAGTCTATAGTCTAGTCTATAGTCTAGTCTATAGTCTAGTCATAGTCTAGTCTATAGTCTAGTCTATAGTCTAGTCTATAGTCTAGTCTATAGTCTAGTCTATAGTCTAGTCTATAGTCTAGTCTATAGTCTAGTCTATAGTCTAGTCTATAGTCTAGTCTATAGTCTAGTCTATAGTCTAGTCTATAGTCTAGTCTATAGTCTAGTCTATAGTCTAGTCTATAGTCTAGTCTATAGTCTAGTCTATAGTCTAGTCTATAGTCTAGTCTATAGTCTAGTCTATAGTCTAGTCTATAGTCTAGTCTTAGTCTAGTCTATCTCTAGTCTATAGTCTAGTCTATAGTCTAGTCATAGTCTAGTCTATAGTCTAGTCTATAGTCTAGTCTATAGTCTAGTCTATAGTCTAGTCTATAGTCTAGTCTATAGTCTAGTCTATAGTCTAGTCTATAGTCTAGTCTATAGTCTAGTCTATAGTCTAGTCTATAGTCTAGTCTATAGTCTAGTCTATAGTCTAGTCTATAGTCTAGTCTATAGTCTATCTATAGTCTAGTCTATAGTCTAGTCTATAGTCTAGTCTATAGTCTAGTCTATAGTCTAGTCTATAGTCTAGTCTATAGTCTATCTATAGTCTAGCTTGTCTTCTATAGTCTAGTCTATAGTCTAGTCTATAGTCTAGTCTATAGTCTAGTCTATAGTCTAGTCTATAGTCTAGTCTATAGTCTAGTCTATAGTCTAGTCTATAGCTAGTCTATAGTCTAGTCTATAGTCTAGTCTATAGTCTATTCTATAGTCTAGTCTATAGTCTAGTCTATAGTCTAGTCTATAGTCTAGTCTATAGTCTAGTCTATAGTCTAGTCTATAGTCTAGTCTATAGTCTAGTCTATAGTCTAGTCTATAGTCTAGTCTATAGTCTAGTCTATAGTCTAGTCTATAGTCTAGCCTATAGTCTAGTCTATAGTCTAGTCTATAGTCTAGTCTATAGTCTAGTCTATAGTCTAGTCTATAGTCTAGTCTATAGTCTATCTATAGTCTAGTCTATAGTCTAGTCTATAGTCTAGTCTATAGTCTAGTCTATAGTCTAGTCTATAGTCTAGTCTATAGTCTAGTCTATAGTCTAGTCTATAGTCTAGTCTATAGTCTAGTCTAGTCTATAGTCTAGTCTATAGTCTAGTCTAGTCTATAGTCTAGTCTATAGTCTAGTCTATAGTCTAGTCTATAGTCTAGTCTATAGTCTAGTCTATAGTCTAGTCTATAGTCTAGTCTATAGTCTAGTCTATAGTCTAGTCTAGTCTAGTCTATAGTCTAGTCTAGTCTATAGTCTAGTCTATAGTCTAGTCTATAGTCTAGTCTATAGTCTAGTCTATAGTCTAGTCTATAGTCTAGTCTATAGTCTAGTCTATAGTCTAGTCTATAGTCTAGTCTATAGTCTAGTCTATAGTCTAGTCTATAGTCTAGTCTATAGTCTAGTCTATAGTCTAGTCTATAGTCTAGTCTATAGTCTAGTCTATAGTCTAGTCTATAGTCTAGTCTATAGTCTAGTCTATAGTCTAGTCTATAGTCTAGTCTATAGTCTAGTCTATAGTCTAGTCTATAGTCTAGTCTATAGTCTAGCCTGTAGTCTAGTCTATAGTCTAGTCTATAGTCTAGTCTATAGTCTAGTCTATAGTCTAGTCTATAGTCTAGTCTATAGTCTAGTCTATAGTCTAGTCTATAGTCTAGTCTATAGTCTAGTCTATAGTCTAGTCTATAGTCTAGTCTATAGTCTAGTCTATAGTCTAGTCTATAGTCTAGTCTATAGTCTAGTCTATAGTCTAGTCTATAGTCTAGTCTATAGTCTAGTCTATAGTCTAGTCTATAGTCTAGTCTATAGTCTAGTAGTCTAGTAGTCTAGTCTATAGTCTAGTCTATAGTCTATAGTAGTCTATAGTCTAGTCTATAGTCTAGTCTATAGTCTAGTCTATAGTCTAGTCTATAGTTAGTCTATAGTCTAGTCTATAGTCTAGTCTTATGGTTTAGTCTCTAGTCTAGTCTATAGTCTAGTCTATAGTCTGGTCTATAGTCTAGTCTATGGTTTAGTCTATAGTCTAGTCTATAGTCTAGTCTATAGTCTAGTCTATAGTCTAGTCTATAGTCTAGTCTATAGTCTAGTCTATAGTCTAGTCTATAGTCTAGTCTATAGTCTAGTCTATAGTCTAGTCTATAGTCTAGTCTATAGTCTAGTCTATAGTCTAGTCTATAGTTTATCCTATAGTCTGATTTTTAGACCAATATTTTTATTTGGAATCTGAACATCTTAATATCTTTACATTCATATTGATTTCTGAATTTGGGTTAAATAATTTTGCAAAAAAAACTTACGTGTACAAAATCGTGGTTCATCACTGCCGTCGCCACAGTCATTGATATTGTTACAATATTTACTTAGAGGCACACAGCGACCATTTGTACAGCTGTATTCGGAAAGGGAACACTGTGGAATGGTAGAGGCCAACATGGGTAGTGATTTGGCAGTGAGGTCAGGCGTTAACGATGAGGATGATGATGACGACGCTGATGATGATGACACAGCAGCTACTACAGGTGATTCTTGCGGCTGTATTGAGGAGTTATTAAGAGCCGCAAGTGATGAAAAGGACGACAATGATGGTGCTGATGATGACGATGATGATTTTGCTGCTGTTGTTGTGGCAAGCAAACAAATGAATATAATAAAAAATGTTGGCAGTTTGTGGTGTGTCATCATTGTTGTGGCAATGTTTGTGGCAAGTGTTGATTTCATATGCAAAGAATCAACGATAACTCTCGATTTTCGTTGAATATCACAATCCATTATTGTTTTTGTTGTAGTTGTTGCTGCTGTTGTTTGTTTGGTTTGTAGTGCATTTGTGGCAGTATTTAAGGGAGTTAATAAAGTGTCAATGGTCGTCGTTGGTGTAGCTGGTAGTGTAGGACTGATGGTGGTGGCATACCAACTTGGTTTATGCAAACAATTGTTGTCGTTAATGTTGTTGTTACTACTGTATGTGTATTGCTTTTGTTGCTGCAGTTGTTTGTGGCGCCATTTTAATGTTATTGCATTTTCTATCACATCCATTGATGGGGCACATTGTCTCAATGTTAAATCTGGTTGCAACTTTTCGGTTTCCTTGAGCTGTAGCTTCTCTATTTGTTTTTGTTTTTCACTAACATTATGTTGTTGTAGTTTGTGTTGTTCTATTGTTTTGTTGCTACATCTCATGCCAACATATGTGTCTGTAGTTATTGCAGTTGTGTGAGTTGTAGTTGTGTTGCAAGTGGAAGTAGTTGGAGTTGTTTTCGTAAAACAATTGTTATTAAAGTTTATTTGTTGTTGCAGCTCTTGTTGTCTTTGTTTTTGCTGCACTTTAAAACCATTAGTTAAATTGCTCATGTTTGCCACATCGTCTTGCACATTCTTTTTGTTCGGGTTGTTGTTGCTGCTGCTGTTGCAGCTGCTCTGGTTTATATTGTTATTTTGATAGTTATTGAGGCTTATTGCTTTTGTTGTTGTTGTTGTTATTGGTATTGTTGTCGTTGATGCTGCCACTACTGCGTTTGGCTCCATTTGACATTGTTGTTGCTGCTGTCGTTGTTGCATATCTTTTCTGTTTTTGTATTTCTGTCGCCATTTTATAGTCATTTTTATAACTAAAAAAAGGAGAAAAAAATCACATGGCATTTGAAGAATTTGGAGTAAGATATTGTAGAAATAACATGTTATTTAGTAATAATAATAATAACGAAAAGTTTAAGTTTTTTCACATTGTTTGATTTTGGATTTAAATAATGGTTAGAAATGATTGAAAATATTACAAAATAAATTTTTCTTTTTTAAATACTAAAATAACATTTAAGTTGTTTTCAAGTATCCGGCATATAAAATCGACTCCATTTTTGTACCGTTCACTTTCATGAGAATAGTACATAATTTTGCCATCCTATAAGTTATACATATTGGCAATTTCATGTCAAGTGACCTAACTTCCAAAACTGATGTCTTCCGATTTGGATGAAATTTGTACTATCCGTCAAGAACTGCCACAGTTAGAGGGAGTCAAAGTTGGACATTATAGTAATGCAGGGGTTTTTCAAATGAGTGTAACATTTCACCTAATGGTCCTAGCAAAAATTGCCCAAAGGAGTTTAGAAAGCTATTTCTTCACTGTTTCCAAAAAGAATTTAAACTTTTTTTAAATAAATACTTTATTTAAAGTTTTTTTGAAAATGGGCCTAATGTAAGGTGAAATCGATTTATTGAGTAGGGTCACTTTAGTCAGTCAGTCAGTCAGTCAGTGAGTTAGTAGTTAGTTAGTAGTTAGTTAGTTAGTTAGTTAGTTGAGTTAGTTAGTTAGTTAGTTAGTTAGTTAGTTAGTTAGTTAGTTAGTTAGTAGTTAGTTAGTTAGTTAGTTAGTTAGTAGTTAGTTAGTTAGTTAGTTAGTTAGTTAGTTAGTTAGTTAGTTAGTTAGTTAGTTAGTTAGTTAGTTAGTTAGTTAGTTAGTAGTTAGTTAGTTAGTTAGTTAGTTAGTTAGTTGTTAGTAGTTAGTAGTAGTTAGTTAGTTAGTTAGTTAGTTAGTTAGTTAGTTAGTTAGTTAGTTAGTTAGTAGTTAGTTAGTTAGTTAGTTAGTTAGTTAGTTAGTAGTTAGGTTAGTTAGTTAGTAGTAGTTAGTTAGTTGTTAGTTAGTAGTTAGTTAGTTAGTTAGTTAGTTAGTAGTTAGTTAGTAGTTAGTTAGTAGTTAGTTAGTTAGTTAGTTAGTTAGTAGTAGTAGTTAGTTAGTTAGTTAGTTAGTTAGTTAGTTAGTTAGTTAGTTAGTTAGTTAGTAGTAGTTAGTTAGTTAGTTAGTTAGTTAGTTAGTTAGTTAGTTAGTAGTTAGTTAGTTAGTTAGTAGTTAGTTAGTTAGTTAGTTAGTTAGTTAGTTAGTTAGTTAGTTAGTTAGTTAGTTAGTTAGTTAGTTAGTTAGTTAGTTAGTTAGTTAGTTAGTAGTAGTTAGTAGTTAGTTAGTTAGTTAGGTAGTTAGTTAGTTAGTTAGTTAGTAGTTAGTTAGTTAGTTAGTAGTTAGTTAGTTAGTAGTTAGTTAGTTAGTTAGTAGTTAGTTAGTAGTTAGTTAGTTAGTAGTTAGTTAGTTAGTTAGTTAGTTAGTTAGTTAGTTAGTTAGTTAGTTAGTTAGTAGTTAGTTAGTTAGTTAGTAGTTAGTTAGTTAGTTAGTTAGTTAGTTAGTTAGTTAGTTAGTTAGTTAGTTAGTTAGTTAGTTAGTAGTAGTTAGTTAGTTAGTTAGTTAGTTAGTTAGTTAGTTAGTTAGTTAGTTAGTAGTTAGTTAGTTAGTTAGTTAGTTAGTTAGTTAGTTAGTTAGTTAGTTAGTTAGTTAGTTAGTTAGTTAGTAGTTAGTTAGTTAGTTAGTTAGTTAGTTAGTTAGTTAGTTAGTTAGTTAGTTAGTTAGTTAGTTAGTTAGTTAGTTAGTTAGTTAGTTAGTTAGTTAGTTAGTTAGTTAGTTAGTTAGTTAGTTAGTTAGTTAGTTAGTTAGTTAGTTAGTTAGTTAGTTAGTTAGTTAGTTAGTTAGTTAGTTAGTTAGTAGTTAGTTAGTTAGTTAGTTAGTTAGTTAGTTAGTTAGTTAGTTAGTTAGTTAGTTAGTTAGTTAGTTAGTTAGTTAGTTAGTTAGTTAGTTAGTTAGTTAGTTAGTTAGTAGTTAGTTAGTTAGTTAGTAGTTAGTTAGTTAGTTAGTTAGTTAGTTAGTTAGTTAGTTAGTTAGTTAGTTAGTTAGTTAGTTAGTTAGTAGTTAGTTAGTTAGTTAGTTAGTTAGTTAGTTAGTTAGTTAGTTAGTTAGTTAGTTAGTTAGTTAGTTAGTTAGTTAGTTAGTTAGTTAGTTAGTAGTTAGTTAGTTAGTAGTTAGTTAGTAGTTAGTAGTTAGTTAGTTAGTTAGTTAGTTAGTTGTTAGTTAGTTAGTTAGTTAGTTAGTTAGTTAGTTAGTTAGTTAGTTAGTTAGTTAGTTAGTTAGTTAGTTAGTTAGTTAGTTAGTTAGTTAGTTAGTTAGTTAGTTAGTTAGTTAGTTAGTTAGTTAGTTAGTTAGTAGTTAGTTAGGTAGTTAGTTAGTTAGTAGTTAGTTAGTAGTTAGTTAGTTAGTTAGTTAGTTAGTTAGTTAGTTAGTTAGTAGTTAGTTAGTAGTTAGTTAGTTAGTTAGTTAGTTAGTTAGTTAGTTAGTTAGTTAGTTAGTTAGTTAGTTAGTTAGTTAGTTAGTTAGTTAGTTAGTTAGTTAGTTAGTTAGTAGTTAGTTAGTTAGTTAGTATTAGTTAGTTAGTTAGTTAGTTAGTTAGTTAGTTACTTAGTTATCATATTTATAATGAATGTGCTTTTAGATGATTGCATACATTTCAATTGAATCACTTAGAAGGGAGTGAGTTTAAAAAATAATTTTAACTTAAACCCAATAAATTTCTCACTTGGCAATTCATTTAAAAATGTTGTTTTTCTTTCATTTCTGTCTTACACGTGTGTAAATATACAAAGCAATAAAAATTTATATTTATTATAAATATTTTTCCATTACACCGAAATATAAAGGAACAATAGCCACAGGAGGATAGCACATACATCATCGGGCTCACTTTGTTTTTATTTAGTAAAAATGTATACATATTTTTCAAATTGTTTTTCATTCATATTGGAACATTGAAAGTGTATAAAACCTTAAATATTGTATGAAACATTTTATGTAATAAATATTTTTATTTCTCAATTTTTTACCAATAGCAAGTCTATTACTACAATATGCTAAAGTATTTGTTAATGAATAGCTGCAGGTTTTTTAGGGATTTCTAAAAAATTGATTTTATCAAATAAACTGCAACGTCAAGGTAAATATTTTTTAGCAGAATTTAGCAAAAAACTATAGGTTTTTAATAACAACGAATTTCTCACCTACCAGTACACACCATATACACACCTACATACATATGTATGTACATATATCTATTGTTCTTTGTTAAAAAATATTTGAAAAATTCATTGATAAAAATTTTTATACACATAGTTGCATATGATGTATTTTTCAAACAGTTAAGCTTCATAGAACGATTTTCCATAGTAACATCCTTAATAAACAACGACAATACAAAAATGAAATACAGAAAAAGTGTTCATAATTTTCAATATTTTTTGTTACACTATCATCAATTTATTGTAAATTGCTGACGTTGTTTAGTCCCGTTGCTACTAGACTAGAAACTGCTTAATATGTCTTTAGACTGTGACAAAAAATAAATGCAATTTAAAACCTCCAACATAACAGATATAGAAAATTTATTAAATATTTTGGATTTTTAAACTTTTTGCTCTAACCATATGATTAGTCTTGACTGTAGATCAGTTGAAAGTTTTATTTGTAGACCAGTCTATATTCTTACATATAGCTAATTCTTAGAACTTAATATTTAGAATATAGATGAATCTATAGTCTTGATTATAGATCTGTCTACACTCTTGACAATAGATCAGGGTTTAGTTTTGACTGCATTTCAGTGAAGAGTCTTAACTATTGATCACTGTATTGTCTTCACTATAGATCAGTTTATAGTCTTGACAGTTTATAGTTGTGATCAGTCAATAGTCTTGAGAATTGACCAGTATAAAGTCTTGAAAAAAGATCAGTTTATTAGTCTTGTCTATAGATCATTTTATAGTGTTGACTATAGATCAGTATATAGTTTGGACTATAGACCAGTCAGTACTCTTAACACTCTTGGCTGTAGATCAGTCTATAAAGATGACTATAGATTGGTCTGTAGTCTTTACATATTACTTTTACTTTTTTACATTCGCATTCGCTTTTGCATTCGCCAAATCTTAGCGAATGTTTTAGCGAATACCGAAAATGTACTTTTATGTTTTCACTCAAAAATTATAGTGATCACAGATTTTCTTTCTTTTTGACCTTATGCTTCTAGTTTAGCCAGAAAATGGACTTTTATGTTTTTACTCAAAAACTCAATTTTTGATGGTAAATGACAGTGATCACAGATTTTCTTTCTTTTTGCCCTAGCGCTTCTAGTTTAGCCAGAAAATGGACTTTTATGTTTTCACTCAAAAAATCGATTTTTGGTGGCAAATGATAGTGATCACAGGTCCTTTCTTTTTGCCCTAGCGCTTCTAGTTTAGCCAGAAAATGGACTTTTATTTTTTCACTCAAAAAATTGATTTTTTGTGGCAAATGAAAGTGATCACAGATTTTCTTTCTTTTTGCCCTAGCGCTTCTAGTTTAGCCAGAAAATGGACTTTTATGTTTTCACTCAAAAAATCGATTTTTGGTGGCAAATGATAGTGATCACAGGTTCTTTCTTTTTGCCCTAGCGCTTCTAGTTTAGCCAGAAAATGGACTTTTATGTTTTCACTCAAAAAATCGATTTTTGGTGGCACAGTGATCACAGATTTTCTTTATTTTTGCCCTAGCGCTTCTAGTTTAGCCAGAAAATGGACTTTTATGTTTTCACTCAAAAAATTAATTTTTGGTGGCAAATGATAGTGATCACAGATTTTCTTTCTTTTCGCCCTAGTGCCTCTAGTTTAGCCAGAAAATGGATTTTTATGTTTTCACTCAAAAAATTAATTTTTGGTGGCAAATGATAGTGATCACAGATTTTCTTTCTTTTTGCCCTA